TTTTATTCGATCGATCTGTTTACTTTATTCCTAAAGTGTACTTAAATGGTAACAATATAATAATAATAATAATAATATCTACTGGAGACAATTTAATAAGGCCAACACCATATTAGTTTGTTTATTAGATGTATCACACAGTCAGTGAAACAGTATTGGTATTCACTGGATGACACAGTTTCGAACACAATTTATTGCTGTTCATAATCCTACCATCAATTATAATCACACGACTTCGAAACTTCAGTTTTATGGTTTCCTTTGTTCTCTCCTATTTGTCGTCGACATTCGGGTAGTAGAATTTTCCAGATATCTGTGTGGACAGGTGTTGAATCATTCCTATTACACGTATTCTCTCTCAGTCGATTCGATAAACAAAGCTTCCGTTGTTATCAATCTCTCCCTCCCTACACCCTGCTGTGACATTAGATTTTCAAACTGTCATCCTATCCCATCCAGCCTATTGTATGGTTGTGTGTAACTGCATGTACTGAGTGATATAGCTGAACTATTCTCTTGATTTCTTATCTTATTCGGGTCAACTAATCGAGATTTTTCTGCTAGGTATTTATGCTCGACTAGTCTAACTCACTGACCCTGTTCTACTCATTATTATTATTGTTCCCTTGGGTTCCTAGTGGAACATAGGGCTTCAAATACACGTCTCCACTTGCTTCCGTCTTCTGCTGTATTTTCCACTTGCATCCATGTTAGTCCATACTGTTTCAACTCCTCTTCACACGATCTCCTCCATGTCACACTTGCACCTACTTCCCACTCGCCGCTTCCCTTTCGGGTTCCACTCGAGCGATGGCCTGATGCGCGATGTCACCCAGCGGCCTCCTCAGCGAGTGTCCAATCCATGATGATGAATGTGTTTCTCGCCTTCCCGATTCTCGATTTGACATCCTCGTCCGTTCTCCTCCTGTAGTTGAGACAATGCTCCCTAGCTAGATAAGTGAATGAAGTAACCTCTTTCAAATCCCTCCCGTTGATGGTGATTGGCGCTGGATGTTGCTGCTGTTGTTGTTGTTGTGGTTGGTTGGTTATTTTCATAACCTCCGTCTTGTCTATGTTCACTGGATGGAGTCCTGTCTTTGCTGCTTCTTCGACCAGTTTGTCGGTTTTCGCTTGTAAGTCTTCGATTTTGTGTGACATCAAACATAAATCATCCACGCGCGAAATCCAGGTCTTCTAGGTTCTTCACGTCGGTCCAGGATATCCCTGTCTTCTCGTTTCCCACTGTCTGACGACGCATAATCCAGTCCACCACAATTAGGAATATCATTGGTGATAATAAGCACCCTTGTCTGACTCCTGTGTTTACTCCAAACGCAGAGAACACTACTATTAATTGCAAATCATTCATTCTTCAATGACTGATAGATAGTTCCCCCCCCCCCCCGGGGCTCGAACCTAGTACACCCATAGTTTCAAACGCCACAAAAATTGTTATCCACAAGACCACTTGTGTCACGGAGGCCACCACCTCTTCTTTTGTAACTATTATTATTCTATAGATATAAAATATTCCAAAGAAGAAGTTGATTTATTTTGGTTAGCTCTATATTTGAGGTGAAGGACGTTAAAAAGGTTTTCTCTGTATTTCACCAATATATATACACTTTCACTATGAATCATTGATATATGCGTGTATCTTTTATTCAATACTTGAGAAATTTGGATACAATTAATTCTTGACAAGTTGAAACAAGTCTGCCTTCAAACTCAGCAAACATCGATAACAACTACTCATGTATATGCATGTATATATATATATATATATATATATACGATATGCTTTGAAATACAAAAATAGATAGAATTATAAGAAACTGCATCAACCAAGGTTTGGCTTAGAGAAGAAAAGAAAAGCGCAGACATTTAGGCAGCATCTCACCGTCAATAGTTACTTACATATATAGAAAGAGACAAGTGACATGCCAAAAGCAAATAAGAAAAATAATTGTGAAACCAGTAATGATAACATAAATAAGAGAGAATATAAGGTATCCACTGTTATACCATATGAGGAGGGGAAATCTGAGACACTCCACACGTAGGATTCTTAATAACAAAGACCTGGTGGACCCAATTAAACAAAATATTATAAATTACAAAATACCCTGCAATGACTCTGAGTAAGGTCAAATACATAGGTGAAACAGACTAGTAGATCGGGGGTAATCAGATTGTCGGAACATAAGAATTTAGCTGAGGTAAGAATGGTTGACCCCACGAGAGAAGATAAGTAATTTAGAAAAACCAACTCAGCACTACATTGCACTGCATGCATGCATTAACACACAACCACACAATGCCATGGTGGGTGGGAGAGGGTTACGACTCTAAGAAGTAATCTATGTAGGTGGAGGGAGAGTTTGATTACTGAATCCTGCCTTGTTCATCGAGTCTACCTACACCCAACACAACACATCCAACAGAAATGACTCAATGCAAATACCAGAGATCATGTATGGAAGATATTATTACCACCAGTCAGTCAGTCAGTCAGTGAAATCAGAGGAGGATAATAAATAATCTTAAATTGTATTCTATTTCAATTCAATTTACGTACATCATCTAACAGTCTAACAAGTTACTCACTTATTATGACTATAAAAGAAACACTCGTCTAATTTCACATCTGATTGTAATTGATCAATAACACTCATATTATTATTATTGTTATTATTTCTGAATGTACATTATCCCATATTACTGATTTGTATTCAAATATCTAATCATGAATTCCACTCATGTATATAAATGAAGGAAGACGAAAGTTGTGTAAGTGAGTGAGTGACTTGATATGATGATTATGAGTGGCAATAATAAATTGTGCTCGAAGCGTGTGGTCGCATCAGTTAATATTACTTACTGTATAACACTACACACACACTGTGAGTGACAGTATTTATACTCTACCACAACACAGTGCCCGAGTTTCATACTTATATCAATAAGACATTTAAATTATTCAGAAATTCGCACAGACACTATGAAGAACTTTTGAAAATGCCTACCAAGTTTCCGTTCATATCTATCTACCTATCTGGCTTTATCATTTAATTTTACGTATGTACTATCACTGCTACGATGTTGAATGAAATTATGCTGCAGTAAAAATTGAGCACTGTAGCAGAGCATTTCAAGTTACTCACACAACTTGAGTAACTTGATATGATTGTGAGCAATCGTTTATGCTAAAAACGTCATCAGTTAGTATTACTGTACAACACTGTGTGATTTATCGAAATAAAATCTTATCCATAATGGAATCCTGTGGAGCCTTTAAATCAAAACAATTTAGTTAATCTAATACCCTGCCTGCAATGATTGTCAGGTCAAATACACAGGTGAGAGTAGCAGAACTGGGTCAGTCAGAGAGATTATCGTAGCATCAAGAATGCCAGAGAATTTTTAGAAGCCTACCTGGTATTCCAGTGAATCGTCAATCAATAGACACATCAACATAGACTAAATTTATCAACCGATAAGAAAGAAACCTCACACACGCAAAGGGTCAAAGTTCAGGTCAAGGAAACAATCAGTACCAATACAAGTAGCCTAAAGGGTGTGAAAACACACAAAAACAACGCATCACGTCCAAGGTCACCCACCAGGAGAGATGATTAATAAACTCGTGGAGAAATCTAAAAGCTCACTTCAATTCAAATTGAAGTGTATGCACTGAAGGAAGATGTCGCCTGCCTAGTAGGGCGATGAAAGCTTCGCAAATCAACCACCATCCAGCTGGCTAGCTCAGAGAGCACACAACTACATCACTAATGGAAGTATCCTTAACTGAACTTAACGACTTAGGAATCGACTTGTTACCAGGGAATAGTCTTATGGACTTAGAATATGCAGATGACATAGTCCTGTTAGGGGAGGATGCTGACAAAATGCAGAGTCTTCTGAACACCTTGAGCAGCAATCTTCGTATGTTTGGAATGCGATTCGCCCCTGTAAAATGTAAGATGCTGCTACAGGACTGGACTACGTCAACTCCTAGCTTAGTGATAGGGAGTGAAGTGATAGAACCTATTTCGGAAGTTGTATCAGCACCAACGGATTGATTGGTGACGAAATCTCAGCACGGATCCAAAAAGCTCGAGCTGCTTTCGCTAACTTACACCATCTATCTGGCGTAGGCGTGACATCCGACTATCAACCAAGGGGCGTGTGTACTGCTCAGCAGTTCGCTCCGTCCTTCTCTATGGCTCTGAAACATGGCCAATACGAGTTGAAGACATGAAAAGGTTGACTGTTTTTGATCATAGATGTCTACGATCTCTTTCTCACGTTAGGTGGTATAATAAGGTAAGTAATGTTGACGTTAGGCGTAGAGTGTTGGGCAAAGAGGGAAAATCAATCGAAGAGGCTATAAAGTTACATAGATTGAGATGGCTAGGTCACGTGCTGCGCATGCCTAACCATCGCCCTCCCCCTCCCGACGGACATTACTAGCTGATATAGGTGCAGGTTGGAAAAGAGTAAGTGGTGCCATGCCAAACAAAAACATGGCCTCATCAATCCATGAAATCCTTGACAGTTAAACTGAGTCAGGTAGGGAGGGAGATGCAGACTTCCGGGTTGGGGCCCACCCTCGGGACTCTAAGAATCAATGGCTGGAGACAGACAATAGGTGACATGGCTCAAAATCGTTGTCAATGGCTTACGCAGATGTATTCAGTCTCTTGTGTAATCTTTCATATTCCTTTCTACCATTACTCATTCTGTCTGTTTCACTCTTATACTTGTCAAAACTCTATTGATTGATTCTCTTCACTCATCCATCTTCTTGTCTACCTTTGTGTGCTATTTGGAACGTGGCAACTCGAACTGCTGCACTTCGGTGCCAAGTTCTATGTTGAATCCAGACAGAGACAAACAGACAGACAACTACATCAGAAAGATTCCATAGTAAAAATTAATCTGAATTCTCAATCAATCAACCAATCAATCAATCGATCAATGAAAATTCGATGACTTACAAAGCAGTTATGACTTTTCAATTCAGGAACACTTCTTGATAACGACATCTGAGGAAGTAGATTTGTAACCGACAGATTATTATTGCATTTATTCATTTGTAATAATAATAATGAATAGTTATTGCCACCAACAGTAGGTGCACAGTTTCCTTCCAACTCTGTACAACTTTCATAGGAGTATACTGAGCGTGGAGCTGATGCCGATCGAGTAGTAGTATCCGCCTTGTTGTTGTATCGTTATTACAATTTGATCTGCTGTTAATGTCACGTTTATTATTTTTATCCCGTGAGAAAGAACGTCTACGTAGACGTTGGAGTAGATTGTCTGCACCGGATTGTCTACACTTCGGGGAAAAGTTTTTAACTTTCATTTTTGAAACCTCCTCCACCTCCGCATTAGTGTATGCATAATCGTCTTCACTGTGTACTGCACAACAACCATGTGATGAACCAGTCCGAGTGATGTAGTTTATACGATTACATGATCCCAGATCGGTTGTCTGACGAGTAGGTCCACGTGAACGCCATTCAAGGCAGCCAAGCTTCATTTTTGACGAGATTTTGATGAAATTGAAGAAAAAGAAAATGAGAAAAGGTAAAATGAGAAAACATTTTTAACATTTTCAACACTTGAATATCAATGAGATGCTCACTAGCGACTTGCCCTATTCAAGTAGGTAGTTACCTGGGTGGGTTCTAGTGAGAAGTCGTGACCAGTAGGGTGCAGCAGGTCGAGTGTGAGGACAAATACTCGCCGAAGACATTGGCTAGGGGGTCGCGCTATGTCGTGAATTGGCAGAAGTTAGAATTCATGGGCCATTGGATCGGGTCCTAGTGGCTTATTGGTATAGGAGCTAGCTCGCCTTGTAACCAGAAGGTCCTGGGTGCGTACTGATGAAGAGTCCCAAACTAGGACAGAAACAGCTGTCCAGTACTCCCAGGTTTTCCAATGGTTCTCTAACTAATGTCAGCTCATGATGAAAATCCTGCAACCAATCAAATCCCTACAAACCAACACTTGAATATCTTCATTCCCTTGGGTTTCCAGGGGAACATCAGGTTTCAAGCTTGAGGTGTGAAGTTTTACGCAGAAGCAACACAGCAGCAGCAGTGGTGATGCCTTTACACTGGGGTAAGGTTGCTAACCTTACAACCCGGCCCCCCCAAACTTCCCTTCCCACTTACTACCGACTACACAAAGCTTAGGAATGAGTCGGCGGGGCATCGAACCCGAATCACCTGAATGTTTAGTTAATATTTCACCAGCGAATCAAAGCCAGTAAGTATTTCACTGGCATAATTTTGAAACTAATTTAGTGCGACCACAACGCAATGTCCTAACCACTAGACGCCAACGAGACCAGAGTTATTTGTTGGGTGTTTTTCAGCAACTACTCTATACTGGATAGCTTCCAGTCAGAAAAAGAAACAAAAATAAGTATATACGTGTTTAGATAAAGTAATAAGAAGACGTAATTTGTCTGAATCGTGTGTGTAATGTTGCATTTGCACGCACAACACATTTCGAACAATCTGATCCATCACACACACGGACTTGTCATAGGAGTACATATATATGAAATTAATAAAGAGTTAAGAGGTGGGTGAGAAAATAGACTACTTAGGTCAAGTTAAAAGGAGGACATATTGAAGGTCAAAATAACAATGAAGATCACTAAACCAAATAACAGAGGTAATAGTACATCTGCCCTGGCTGGTATCAAAACAAAGTTTACCAAGGAAGGTTTAGTGTGTTGACGAATTGCTGCTTTGAACGCATAAAGGTGGTTTAAACTTTCTAATTGCTATCGATTCCAAAAACTTTAGGATACGCCCTCACAAGCACGTTTTATAGATAGGTTTAAAAGATGTGTTAACGTCAATTTTATGTCCTGTCTCCTCTGTAATATGTTTCGCAATAGAGGAGCTAGGTCTTCGTTTGTTCTCACTATTAATGGGTTCTGAAGATTCTATCTGCTTCTGGAGCCATTTAGGAATATGCTCTGAAACCAGCCAGCCCTTACTTGCAGAGATCGATGAGTCCTCCCTATGTATGTTTGTGTGTGTGTGTGTCCACACATATTGGTAAATACAGTGAGAGGATGTGACATCATTTTTCGCATGTTCCAAGGGCTTAGATGGATGGATATATTGGCTTCACATTCTCAATTATTATGATATTAGCTGCATAAAAAGTCTTTTTAACAGCAGCGTTCAATCTTTGTCTAGTTGTCAAGCCGCTATGATGCCTCGCCCATATAGGGTAGCTTGATGTACACGTCTTTCTTAGGGGCGAGTTGTAGACAGTGGGTCTTGTCTGGATCATAGTTATCAACCAGAGTTTGTGTCAACTTTCTTCCTCATCATCAAGTGTGTTCTGTCTTCAGTGCATATTCGTTGGATTCTACTGAAGAGGCACCTCACTCACTAAGGCTCTTTTGTACCGAATAGGGGCAGAAACTGTGCTAATTAAGATACTGTCCTGTCCAGATAGGTAGGTTTTCTATAAATAGACCCTTTTATTGACCCATCAAGCCATCAGTCGACTAAGCAATATATCTAGAAAAGATAAACAATTATCTTCCTCTTCTACAGACAGATGTAAGTGATATGCTTGCTATTCTGAGATGGCAGAACAAGACTTATCACTGACGATTACACAATTATTATTATTATTGTATCCTTTAATTCCTACAGGAACATAGGGCTTCAGCCGTGCGTCTCCATTGCGTTCTGTTCTCTGCTAGGGTCTTCACCTGGCTCCAAGTCTGCCCACACGTTTCCATCTCCTCTTCACATCACCTCCTCCAAGTCACCCTTGCACTGACGACCAACTCGCCGCTTCCCTTTCGGGTTCCACTTAGCAATGGCTTGTCTAGTGATGTCACTTGATGGTTTCCTAAGAGTATGGCCAATCCATCTCCATTTCTTCCTGTCTGTGTGTTGCACACTCGGTTCCTGGTTGGTTTGCTCGTTGCCAGAGATCCCTTTTGCTAATGTTTTCTGGGTGGCCATCTGATCTTGAGTGGTATTGAGCGAAGACAACTAGCTGTTGATGAAGGTCTGTAGTTTGTTTGAGGTGCTCTTTATGACTCGCTGACCAAGTCTGTGATCCGTATAGTAGCACTGACTGACTTCACATTGGAGTTGAAAATCCAGATCTTATTTTTGATGCTGAGTGCTGTCTGTTGACCTCCACACAGACTTGATGAGAGTAGTGAAAGCTTGTCTTGCTTTTCCGATCCTCCTGCTTTGATATCCTCGTCAGTTCCGCCTGTAGTTGAAACGATGCTTCCAAGGTAGGTGAAGGAGGTTGTTTCTTTCAGGTTCCTCCCATTTATGCTGATTGTTGTCTGTTGTTGTTGCTGTTGCTGTTGGCCAGGAATCTTCATCACCTCTTTTTTCTCTATGTTCACCTGAAGTCCTGTCTTAGCTGGATGCTTCTTCTGCCAACTTGCTGCTTTTCGCTTGCATATCTTCCAGTTTGTGGGAAATCAGACATATATACCACATCGGCGAAGTCCAGATCCTCCTAGTCTCTTTTTGTGTGTGTCCATTTTATGCCTGTTTCCTCATTGCCCACTATTTGTCGCATTATCCAGTCTACTGCAATCAGGAAAATCATTGGCGATAGTAGTAGCCAACCAGCTTGTTTTACTCCTGTCCTCACTTCGAAGGATTCCGTAAGTTTCCCATTGTGGATTACTTGGCATGCAGCATTGTCGTATAGCTGTTGGATGAGATGTATAATTGTCGGTTGCACCCCTTGGTAGTAGCGAAGTAGTTTCCAAATCACCTCTCGATCGACGCTGCACTATCGAAGGCCTTTTCAAAGTCGATGAAGTTGAGATAGAGAGGTGACTGCCATTCCAAACTTTGTTCATTGATGATCCGTAGTGTGGCGATTTGATCAATACATGACTTGTTTCTCCTGAATCCAGCCAGCCTGTTCCGGTCGAAGTTTTTCATCCAGGGCTTGTTTGATCATCTACATGATACCTTCTATAAAGTGCGGTTCTTTCCTCACTATCGTTGTCTTATGAAACCCGTAAGGAATCAGACATGAAAGAGTGAAAGTGAACACCTATTATGAACAGAGAGAAATGACTGCATGAACACAATCAACACTGGACAACAAACATCACACACACACGCACACGCCAACGCACACGCACACACACAAACACAGAGTGACCACCATAAAACTCTCCATTTAGATACAAAACTTATAGTTAGGTAGAGTAGAGTAGAGTAAGATACACACAAAGTTTATCAATGAAATTAAAACATGTTTTGATATGCAAAGTTTTAACAATATAGAACATGACTAATGGTAATTAAATTTCATCTCCATTGATACATATATATATATATGCATAAAAACGCAGTAAGATAATATCGATTTTCTCTCTGTTTCTAGGCGTCCTTACATACATCCATGTATTAAAATAAAACAATAGTGAACAGTCTGACCAGATATGATATTGACCAGGGTTGTTTTCTAAATCACGACATGTATTTATATATCGGCTTATTAGGTTTCCGTTTGACTTCCATTAGAAAAAAAAGAGAACACGAAGTTCTGAAGTATTGGTTTTGTTGCGGATATTAGTCAGTGGTCCTCTTCAAACGGTCTTAAGCTGAATCCGTCTAAATGTCAGGTAGTCCAGTTTCACTTTCAGACGAAAACGTGACCTACAACAACTAGCTAGCTAGCTCACATGGTCCCACTATCATTGACGGCATAGAGGTAGGTTGAAATTACATCTAATGTCAAGTACCACCTTGAACTGAGTATTTCCTCCGATCTTTCCTGGTCCTCTCACATCTTGCTAGTTACTAGAAAGATGTTTCGCTTGATAACGTTCTACGACGTTAGGAAGTTAAGGCAGTCTGGTATAAAGCAGTCTTTGCTTTCTCAGTTTGACAATTCTTGTGTTTGCTACCCATCCCTGTTTACTGCTGCCCATTAATCTTTCTTGGACTACTTAAGGAAGATTTTGCTTTGCTGCGTAGGGCACTAAAAGCTGTTAGTAGGGCAAGTGGGATATCGTTATACCAACTGGTTAACACCATTGTGGATAGACATATAATGTCATGTAAGAAACAAGCGAATTCTATATTGTCAGACCCCGAACACCCTCTATATACGCAGCTCCCTTCTTGCATTTCATCTCGTAGAATTAGAAGCAACTATAGGAGGCTATATGCTAGGACTACCGAGTACACAAAAACTCCACAATACCTTATCTGGCACAGATGTTATTATGTGATGAGAAATCTGTTAGGTATGACACGATCAACTTACTGAGGCACTCTAACAAACAAATAGTTCCCATTAGCTTTTGTTCTCCTTTCTTCCTTATTATTATATTGTTGGCCTCACATATTCTATTACACACTAATTTTATATTTCATATCCTGTGGTGCATTGTTTAAAATGTGAATGCAATGGTGTTCTATTTTATTTCTTTTATTTATCTTTTCTTTCTTTTTGTTGTTGATGCTTTTTGATTTTAAAATCTTATAAAATTTATCAGGT